ACACGTACCCTGGTATTAGGGGTGTGTTCACACGAGATGGGCATGGTGTGACTGCACCCAAACAAGAAGCTCATGTATTTAGATTTTACTATATATAGGAACATTTATAATTAGGTGCTTTGCCGCAGATAAAAATAAATAAAAGTCAGTTTTGAATTTTCAACAGAAGAGTTAAGTAAAGGCAATAATTGCTCTTGGAGTAAGCGGATTGCGATCCGCTAGACTCGTACTTGTTCTAAGTATAGAACGAAAGGTCGATGACCTAATTTACGCTTCCTCAAAGCGCAAAGTTACGGCAGCCCCGAATTATAAAATAATCCCTGTATTGGTGCAATATACCACTCGTACACAGATTCTGAGCGACTTTTACTACGCTAAATTCATCAGAATACTACATTAGTATCAGTTACTAGATATTTTTATATTCATGAGATGCTGCCTGCTGCATATTATTGCTTATCATTTAACTTGATGCAGCAACTTTCATTGGAAAGTGCAGCAACCTACATAGTCGAGCAAATATTTGCATTAAATAGTTTGTGCTGCTGGTGCGTGCATCGAAATCACTTACGTGTTAGAATCTCGTGTCCCAGATGATGCAATATTTGGAGGCTGGCTGCTTCAAATGTAGTGTTTGGGAGTAAGAAATACGAATCTGAATTAAGATATGCCGTACTGTTGTGTCCGATGCTCGAGAGAAACAATCCACTCTAGAGGGGGTTATTGAAGAGCAAGCATTTTTGGCAGATCAATGAATATGTAAGCCTTCCTCATGTAAAAGGGCAGCTATGCTCTGAAATAGAGTTGTATCTTCTAAAAAGGGCGAAGTCAATAGCCAACACATCGAGATAAATGTGATTCACCTTTTTTTCTTTCGAAAGTGCTCGTTGCGATATTTTTACTCAAAATCTTCACTTTAAAGCGATTGCAAATAAAAACCATCCTTTTATGGTATTTGATTTCTTCTGTCAATCTGTTCAGAAGAAAATGACATTGATGCACTTTCAAATCCACCAAGCATGTATATTGTCTAAGAAACGTTTCTTCTATCACCAGTGTCGTCAACACGACTCTTACCAAGCGGTAACATTCTGAGTTTCGAGAAATCTATGCGAGGATACATGAGTCGAAGTTATTACTTTCGAATATTTCAGAGTGCGTGCTTGCCATCAAATTCGATTGATGCGTCAAACCTCAACGGATTCTGCACAATTCAAAGAGTGTATCGCCAATGACCCCTCTTTTATATCATCAATTCCTTATATCACATGATCCCGAGTAAATCCGTCGTATTCCCGATGATGTTCTTTTCTCGTCATCTGCGACTTTGCCTGTTGACTCCTCCGCTGCTAGCAATGCATTTTTTCTAGCTCCTAATTTGGAGAAGTATAAGTCTAAAGAGATGTGCTAACCACATTTGACATAAAGTTTACAGCCCAACAAGCAGAACAACAAACCTGTGGTGGCATATCTTTATCAACCATGTAGTATTCGAAATGGGGTATCCGTTGGATCAGCATTTCAATTGCACAGCCAAAAAGTCATACACTGTCCACGGCTATTATAAAAGGAACAAAGTTTTTCATTAGAGGAATTACTGGCATTTTTGTTTAGTTAATCCGTAGTCAAGACAACAACGAGCAGAAGATCGATTAACATATATACTTTATTAAAAAGTATGAAGATTATCTTGTTGAGCTGAAAGTCTTCCTGCTAGCAATTGCGCGTGGCTGCTCTGATAAGCATATTCAAAGGCCCTTACAAACTTGATAACTCGTTCGCGAAGCTTCGACGACCATGATGAAATAACACACTATTTGTCGTAGCGACGTAACAGTTTGAGACCATACCTCAGCTTGCATCCTCGACAAGATCACGTGCCCCACAAAGCTAAGACGTTAACATTGCCTTCGTATGAAAATCTTATCAGTTGCTTTTGAAATAGACTGGAACTTGATAGCCTCCACTATACATGACTGAGCTAAGAGCTCTAAGGGTATATCTGTGATTCACTGCAATGCTGATCGCCAACTTTTCATCCTTTTCAGTCACAATCACTTCATGAATCTTCGCACTCATTTCACGACGAGGGAAACGCAACCGCACATCTTCTCGTAATGTCTTTGAAAGTGTTATCTACTCACCTTCCACAGACAAGTGTGCTACGGTTGCTTGCCAAATACTCTTGTATTTAATAGTAGCTCCTCAATATTTTGATATAACACTTGTAACTTGATCCCAGTGTCGTCAAAGGTCTGCAATCCACACAACACGCTAACTATGCTCAACACCATTCAGCTTGACGAATAAGTGTGCGCTATTTGGGATATGCCAAGGTGAATCTTGGAAACTGTTTGCGAGGGTGTTCATGTGAAGTCTGCAGCCTAGCGATCACTCTTGAGAAGCATTTGAGTGCTAACAATTTGTAGCAAACACAGTGTTTTTTCGGCGTTTCAATCTTTACTATACCGTTCAAATGGAAGTTTTACAACAGAGCATTCTGCTTGGTAGCTATTTTGATAGCTGAGACATAGCCTCAGCAACCAAGTTCATGGGGGCAGCACGAAGCGAGTATTGGAGCAAATGACATTCAAATTGATATCTGCATTTTGAGATGAGAACTTGGCTAGTCCATATTGTGGGAAACATCATAAGGCATGGAAAGGTAGGAGCTAAGTGCATTTACATTACAAAAGGAGCCATCGTTACAACATCCAAAAACACTGCATGTATGAACAATGATCGATATATTGACCTTAATTGTCTTTAGTGACAGCAAGAATTCTCTTGACAAAACTATCAGCTAAATATGGAGTGGCACGACTCTAGCACAGCCAGTCACGAGCCAGAGTTACATCAAGGTCTTTATTACATGCGTATTGCTTCTTGCTCACTTCAACGTGATAACTAATGAAAATTCTATTGTCGCTTCTTTTTTTGTTGTTTGCGAGCTGATGTTCTTACAGAGGTCGAACATCCTGAAGGTGAGTATCGTAACATGTTGGCATCATTCACTACTGATAAAGGGCAGTGGGTGTCAAGTGTTGAAGACATTCTCATCGTCTAAGAAGATCTTTTCTCACTTATAATTTTACCGAATTCTTACTCCATTTAGGAAGACTCTAGTAATGATGAACCAAACTCACAAATCTGGGAAGTTGAGTGGCTCAACACTTGGACGTAGACAAAGTTTCGTTCACAGATTAACCTTATTAGCCTCATAAGGACAACCGTAAACGTATCACATCTGAGCAGATGTTGGATGTGCCATAATGGCAGGATCAGTGACCTCATACATGACAAATTATTGACATGACAAATCATACAATTTCTTCGCAATCAATAAATATATTCTCTGTCACATCGGCAATGCTGTTAGCTTAGTGTATTTTCCCCTTGTACGTACGCACAGCTATAAACGCTAGAGCCTTAGAGAGAGTCATCGAAAGTCTATACAATTAAAAAAATATCAAACTACAATTGAATTTTAAAGTCCATTTCTCTATTATCGTGAACATTTTTTAAGAAATTCTATTCTTTCCTTGTCATTTTTCTTACAAAATTCGATTGGTTTAAATGAGTAACAAATCCCATCCAAGAAACTTCTTATATGCACGAATAAAAATCGAGCAGATAAAAAAACCTTGACTTCAGTATGAAAGCTTCTTGCCGTTTTTGTCCACTTCTCTGCCTTCCAATGGCTAATTTCATCCACTCACGTAGCATTGCCGTTGGTTTTTCTTCGGGAGAAGGGTGAGCTGTTTCAGTTTCCGATTCGACACCGTTGGCCCGCAAGCGTCGACAACTCGTCCCCCTTTTACCAACTCTTTCCAGCCTTAACTCCTTCTTCTGTTACGACTGCATACAGTGCATGCGTTTGCAAATTCCGTGCGCCCCCATTGATTTGAGTAGTGCGTTAACCTGGAAACGAAAGAAACAGGAAGCTGTGCAGCATCCCCCGGATCCCCTCTGTCACCATTCTTTTGCATCATTTTCATTCGCTCAACGTGATTTTGTTCACGATACATCAATTGACGCTTTTTTGTAGTTAAGTCAAACTTTCACGATGTCCATGATGAATATTGCTGGAACACAGTCAGTAGACGACCCTGAGTATCGTTACAAGATGCCGCGACTTCAAGCAAAGATTGAAGGACGTGGAAATGGTATCAAAACGCTGGTTGTTAACTGTGCGGACATTGCAACGTCGCTTCATCGTTCAACTGCTGAAGTGTGCAAGTTTTTTGGCTGTGAACTAGGTGCTCAGTCTAAATATGATGAAAAGACCGATCGTGCTATTGTGAATGGTGCCTTTGAGGCTGGTCAGATGCAACAACATTTGTCCAAGTACATTGAAGGCTTTGTTTTGTGTCCTGGGTGTCGTCTTCCCGAGACCAAGTATAAGTTTAAGGGTCAACTAATTTTTCACAAATGCTACGCTTGTGGTGCTGTGGAGCCTGTTGACATGAATCACAAGCTCACGACGTTCATTTTCAAGGAACACACTGCTGCTAAACGTAGCAGCAAGGACGGCAAGACGAAAAAGGACAAGAAGAAAGAGAAGAAGGAGAAGAAGGTGTCACGCAATGAGCCTGAAGATGAGTCAGCTACGAAGGAGAAGAAGAAGGAGAAGAAGGAGAAGAAAGACAAGAAGGAGAAACATCAGAAGGACAAGAAGAAGAAGCATCACAAAGAAAAGAGCTCCGACAAGGGGGCATCTGGATCCGATGATGAAGATGAAGTGGTCTGGCATACCGATTTGTCTGCTGAAGCAGTCGCAGCTCGAGCTGCTGAAGCTGAGTCAATTGAAGCGGCTGCTACTGCTGCAATGGAAGCTGTTGCAGCGGAAGAGGTGGTTGCAACGCTAGACAATCTTCACGTTGACGATGAAAATGCTTTGGATTCGACAATCTCGAACTTGAAACGTTTTTTATCTGAGAATCACTCGACTTCTGAAATTTTCGACGAATTGTGTCGTCAGCAAACGTATTCAGCTTTGCCAGTGACAGACCGACTTGTTATCTTCTTCCGTTCTGCTTTTACTGATCAAATGCTAGTGGATAATCAGGCGGTCAAGTATGCACCTGTGCTGGAGAAAATCATTGATGGCCAACACTCTCAATACCAATTGCTTGCGCTTGTGGAGCATTTCTGTGCTGTGAAACATCCGAAGCTCTTGAATTCTTATCCGATTTTGTTGAAAATTCTGTATGATGAAGATCTTCTGGAAGAGGATTGTCTTGTTTCATGGGCCACAAATGGAGTTCGGAAAGAGTATGCTCACTGGGAAGTTACTGATGAACTTGCGGCGAAGTTGAAGAACTTGCTACAGCCGTTTATCGAGTGGCTCGAAAACGCCGAAGAAGAAGAGAGCGAGGACGAAAGTGATTGAGGTAAGCAGGTGATTTCTTGACTTGAACGCTGCTGTGCAGCATTTGCATTTCTTCTTTTTTAAACTTTGACACCATGACGAGTTTTTGACGACCGCATGTTTGCATTCATGCATCTGCTTAATCGAACTAATACATTCGTATGTTCATCTTAGTGCTGAGTGTTTAAATTGCATTTTTTCTTTGTCGATAAATTGCCGAGGCGATGGTATCTGCGATTGAACAGATTTCATTCTCTAAAGCAACGGATGCACGTGAAGAAGTGTCATCATGGCCAGCGCGAAGCAGCGTAAGCCTTGTTGCATTGGGTGTGAGTGGTGAGGTGGCTCTGGAGTCAAAAAGGGCCTGGTGAAACCGTAAGAATTTGCCCTATGATAAATGATAGTATGATTAAATCATACAGCGCTAATAAATGTAAGCAAAGTGTAGACATCACCTTGCACATCTCCATTCCAATCGTGAAGACAGGCTTACCCGCTGCAATTGCTTCCGTTGTCATGGAAATGGAGTCTGGTGTGGTCACAATGTAGGATGCTGTGGCCAGTAGCGCATAATATGGATTTTGACGTTCTGTGCCTTGAACCACAAACACTTGTCCAGTCATAGGATATCTAGCAATGAGCTCTTGATGAAGAATTTTTTGCACAGTCAAAGGAGTTCGACGCGAAAAGGTCAGGAGCACAGCCACATCGTCACAATGTGGAAAAGCTTGAGTAAATTCCTCTACCATCTTTTTTGCATCTTGCTCTGTAAACAAGAAGCCACGACAGGGTCCTCCTACTAGCCACACCACACGCGTTTGTCGTCCTTGTAGCTTCTTATCCAACTCTTCCTTCCATTCACAACTTTGTTGTCGTAGTAATTCTGGCGTGATATCGTGTATAGTGCCTGAAGTTAGAAACACATGATCTTTCCTTCCAACTCCTCGAGGAAAGTCGTGCTTGGGCGCCACAACAGTGTCAAACCATTGAAGTGACACACGCGGATGTTGGATCTGCACATTAAATATCTTAGTTGGCTCGAGCTGCTTCAATACTGCACTAAGCGCCACTGTGCTTCTTCCACAACCGATCAAAACATTAAGATCTTTTGTCTTTATTTGTTCAGAAAAATATCGCTCAAGATCTTGCCGAATGTAGCCAAAATATGGATTGCGAGTGAGTCTAGCGCCAAGAACTTGCAGTAATGGCGGGATCAGGAGTGACTGTGTTAACGTTATACGCACACATTGCACACTTGAAAGATTCATAACGTTCTTATCTCGTAGCTTCCTATGCAATCTCGCACCTAGCGCCAGCGCCTGCTTTTCAGCTCCTGCTGCACCATTACAAAGCACTATCAACTGAACCATAAGAGAATCATTTAAAATATTAATTAGAACTAATTATTTGCTTTAATTTAAACATTGATAGCGATGGCTTCCAGCGCCTTTGAAATCCTTCGATCAACACGCCAGCTACCAGTGGTCGAGAAAGAATTGCTCTTTAATAAGCATGCCACAGATGCTGCAGCTTTTCGCTCAACTGCTGGCGCGGCATGGGGAAAAAGTGCGCGCAAATGGGTGGCCGCCTCGACTCCTGAATTTCGCGAATTTGGTGACGCCATGCCACGCGAATTACGGACGCTAGTGGCTACGTCGTTTGATATTTTTACTCGAACCCAGCAAGAATCACAACAGGGAGCATTGGATATCGTACATACTAGTCGTGAATACCGTGAAGGTCTTAAGACGTGTATTTTCGCGCTAGAAGACCGTCTGGAGGCAAAAAAGGAAGATTTCGAGATGAATATTGAGGAGGAAAGAGCGTTTTTAGATTTACTGAAAGTTTCACTCGCAATTTGGCACCTGTGTGAGTTGTTGCTGCTCCGTGGAGGCGCGAGAGGTGCAGATAAGACACTAGCTTATGAGCTAGCGCTGTGGGTACAGGAACATTATTGTAGTACGTTGTTAGAGAAGGTATTGAGCGAAAGTGAAAGACTGAAGAAGGAGGAAAAACCGGAACAAGATGCAGACTTCTGGAGTACGATCAAGTCTTTAGTTATGGCTGGAGATGGTGAGAGTGCCTGGAGTCTATTGTCCTCACATTCGAGCTACAAGTCTCTCGTGGCTCGAGACGCTTTGTCTCTTACTCAAACTTCAACTACAACAGTGTTCCAAGAAGTCCAGAAACTATTGGTAACAATGCCTGGAAGAATTGGAAGAATGGAAACATTTGAACCAGCAGAATGGAAATACTGGAATGATGCGTGCCACTACCTTCTCAACACAAATGGATACATCAAGTCAAACGTAGAATTCAAGACACTTTTAGAGATACTAATAGCTAAGGAAGACGTGCTTACGAGTCATGCAAATACTTGGTATGAGCTGATGATGGCAAGACTTTTTCTGAACGAACCAAAGACAATTGCACACCGTTTTGAGTTTCTGATGGCCAATTGTTTTCGAGCCTATCACAGCGATACTACAAGTATGGGCAACTTTGATTGCATCATCTTAGCGATCATGAAATACGATATCGAGAGTGCATTGCAAGATCTGATCTCACTTGGATTTTCATGGATGACCGCACATCTGACTGATCTATTACAGAGACGTAATGTGATTCTAGCGGACGAGGTGGTGCCGGAAGCCAGCTGCACGTTACGAGAGCGATTTTTACTTCACTATGCAATGGAGATCGGTGCAAGTAGTGGTATGTGGCAATTTGCTGTGCGATACTATGAGTACTGTCCTCAATTTGGTGCTAGTGCGATTCGATCTGCATTAGCTCGTGAGCCGTTGCAAACAGACTACAAGACAGAACGCCTTCTAGCATATTGCCATGGTAAGAAATTTTTGGCTGAAACACAGAATTTAATATCAAGACAGAGGGCAGAAGAGTGCAAGCTTAAAAAGACTTATGCGTCTGCAATGTACTGGATGCTTCGTGGTAACCTTCTAGACGATGTCGATGCTCTATGTGATGATGTTTTACAAGAGTGCAGCAATAGTAATTCGCTCACTCCTCTTCACGAGGCGGTGCAATTCATGGAGTCACACACTGATCTTGTACGTCCTCAAAAGTTAGTGTGGGTGGTAAAATATCGCGAATTTCAGTTGGTTCTGGACGATCTCGAGGCATTACGACAACAGCTGGAGACGAACGAGGTTTCAAACGATAAGGAAAAGCGTGTGGCTCTCAAAGACAAACTTCGGTTTGTGTCCATTGAGGCCGCGAAGCGTTTGAATTGGTTATTTAACTCGATTGAGGCACCAAAGACGCTATGCTCACAACTTTTGCAACACACTGAACGTCTGCTCAAAGAGTCTCCCAATGTATTTCAATCGCGCCATTTGTACTCATTATTGGATTACCTGCAGCGTTTGGACCGCTCCTTTGACAGGCAACAATTTTACAACTCGAGCTCGAACACACAATTGAAAGAACGCATTGAAACTTTGATATCTCGAAATCTTGCCGAGGCAATGTTGCAAGAAGCGTCTGTAAGTGGTTATGGAGTAGAAACTCTGAAGCGTCAAGCAATTATGGCGCCGAGTGTTGAGAACAAGTTTTTGATAGCAGATTTATCAGGTACACCGATGGAAGAATAGGCGTCTGGCAAGACGTCGTTCGCTTGCAAATCTTATGATCGTAACATATTGTTAATTGGCGATTCACGTGAGGAGACTAATCTTTTGTCTGCTTGATGTTCATCTCTACCTAAGATACAGCTCTGTCTAAATATTTTATAGTCGAAGAGTAATTGGTAAAAGAATCTATTGTGATTTTCCTCCAAGTAGGTCAAGTACGTCCGACATAAAATCACCACCCTCCTGTTTAAATTTCCAAGCAGCTTCAATAGCTTCATTAAATACCTTGACTACATTTGTACCGTCCGCAGCCGAGACAAAGCTGAAGTTAAGGTCATGCGTTTCAGCAAATTTAAACTTTTTGCTCGTCACCTTCACGATCATTAGAAGGATATTTTTTTGATAACAAGAACATGAACATTTGTCTACTTACGTTCATATCGACATCAATCTTGTTAGCAACTAGAAAGCACGGAATGTTTTCGCAGTACTCGCGAAGCTCCTTGTACCAATTCGCTAAGTTTTGATACGTTACTTTTCGCGTAACATCAAATACCTGAACAACATGGTTGAGAAACCTCAATCTTAAGGTGAATGTGATACGTACTAAGATGCATGCTGTTGCTCCATAATAAAACGATGGATGCATACTCGAGAATCGTTCTTGTCCAGCTGTATCCCATAGATCTACGATTGATTACCGTAGAAACATAAGTACAGATTTAAAACTATCAACCACTGTACATCACGCACCTACTTTCACTATACGCTTTCCATTTTCGCCAATCACCTCTACATCTTTCCGATATAGCGTTAATGCAAATGTCGATAGCTAAACAGATCTCATTAAGAAACTAATTTAAATACAGCACCAAATACAAACGGACCTGACGTGGTTCGTATTCATTCATCATAAAGCGTTCGACTAATTTCGACTTGCCTGCAGCCGAATCGCCGAGTAGAATGATCTGATAATGAAGTAAAGAACAATGAAGTGGCAGCTTTGATAGAGCTCAAGTCACCAGCCTACCCACTTTCACATCAGGTTCGCCTAAGCTATTCTCGATTCCATCCATAGTGTGACTTTCTTTCGTGGCCATTCTTGTCTTGATTCTTTGCGTTTTAAGATTGGAACTTGAGCAGCCGTTCCTACAATTCTCGAGTTAATCAACCAGCTATTTTAAGGAGCCTAATAGAAATGATACTCACTATAATTTTACGCAGAATGTTACTTGACTGATTCGTAACGAGAACCATAAGTCGTTAATGAACAATTTACAATGTAGCAATTACTTTCCACACATCAATTCATTTCCTTTCTTGCACAATTCAAGTTTTCATCAGGAAAAGAGATTTCAATTGCAATTTAGAATCATTCCTTGTCTACCGATTGTATCGTGCGACTGGCTGTCTTTGGTCAGTTCGCTTCCCATTACTTTGACTATACTTTAGATCATCACAACGATGCAGGCAAGAAGTTGATACTTATGGAGTTTTTTTCTTTTATGTTCACAACTGAAACGCTTACCCCTACAGGTATCTAAGCGAGTATACCATCTACGACTGATGGAAAGACTATACCTTTCCGTCAATGTGACAAGCAGTACAATAAGGTTTTCAAGAAAGTCATTTTTGTGCAGCTGCAGACTATCGTTTGCAATTCTCCAAAGTATTTCATTGCTTGTTTGTACACTTTTCAACTATTAACTTTGCTGTCATAAGTACAGTGACTCTGTCATTAGTGACAAAAGCAAAGTGATATTTTAAGTGAGTGCCTTGTAGATCAAATGCCATAATATCATACTCGCTGGGTTTTATCAAGAGTATCATTTATGATCTGAGCTTAATAGAAAATCAAATTCTATCAAATACACTGCATAAAACGATATAGCTACATGTTATTATTATAATCAGGTGCTAAATTGACAGGTATCTATGACAAGTATAAGTGAAGTAGCATACATAATTCAACGTCCCAACTGCGATGGCGGAGCTGGACACGGAGCATGTGCGCATGCTAAACACTGGAAGGCAGCGCGTTGCGTACACATCACCATTAAATACGGACTGTTTCTCTACTGTGAAATCCAAGAAGACACAGCTGCTGCAGCATGGCAATACGTATGGTCTTACCTTTGTAGCTTCCAAAAACGGTAAGATCAATACTCTATAAATGTACGCGATTTTCAATGAGTGACGAATCATGCTGCAGGTTTCGTTATGACGACGAACATTGAGCTTGAAGAATCCTGTACTGACTATACTAAACGACGACAGGAGGCAATCGACCACAGACAGAAACTCACGTTGGAAGAAATTCACGAACTGCCAGTGAGTAAAGAAGTTGTGCTGCCATCCATTGCTTATTGGATTGCGCTCTCTACGGACGAATTAATGCTTGCAGTAGCTTACGGAGATTCTGTTGCACTCTATGAAGTTGCGCATATCGTCGAAGCGGTATGATGACATTTTCTGATCCCTATGTAGCTAATTCAACAACATTTCTAATTTGTTTTTGTTATTAGATAACTGTGAAACCTTATCATACATTTACCAGCATGCAAGCGCAAGAGATTGCGTGGTGCAGCGATCCGACACGTGAGCAATTGATGGTTTTAACATGTGATAAGAAAGTGGTACTTTGTACGCTGGATGGTGCACAAGAGGCGATTAAGACGGACACTGACGCTTCGTCTATTGCCTGGTCTCCATCTGGACAGCAAATTGCCGTTGGATTAGTTAATGGTACCGTTGCAATATACACTCTCGAGTCTATAAAGTTTTTACGATTGATTCAAGTACCGGAATGCTGTACTGAGCTTGATTTTGAAGTCCACCATATTAACTGGGCCGAAGACAACTTAATTCTGGCTGGGTACCATCAGTATGAAGACAAGAATGATAAAACGATTGCTCTCGCGTGCATTTATGACCGTGACGAGTGTATTGAGCTTGATGAGATTGTTGGATTCTTTGATGTAGATGGACGACGACATCAGTATTTTTCCCTATTTCTGTCCGAGTGGCGAATGTTTTTTATTGGTTGTTCATTAAGCGCAGACATTGAGCTGCTTGTATCAGATCCTGAGACTAGCGAATGGCAAATATGGAAACCATTGGAAAAGTACCAAGCACGTCTACCGGATAATAGCGCGGATGAAGAATCTTTTCCGATGGGATTGGCTCTGAATTTAAACTCCACAGTGTCCGTTTCTGTCGATGGCGACCCGTATCCTCCCGTACCGATTATCGCTTGTACTAATACTGAGGGCTTATTACTTCATTTTGCATTTGTGGATACGACAGTATCCGAAGTCGACTTTGTCAAGCGGGCATTGCCTTTCGACAAGAAATCGACACGAACTCTTTTGACGGCTTCTGCAGAGGTGAAGAAAGAGAAGTCTGTATCTTCGAAAACATTGATGGCAAATGAGTATGGCCAGAATGATGAGAACGAGTTTGCAGATTATGATGGAGATTCAAGTGACACAGACGAAGAGCGTAAAGAAGAGGAGGACAATGCTCGAACCAAGTTTCGCACGATTGCACTAGATGGAGCAAACTTTATTCTTTCAGAGCAGTTTCCAAATTTATTCAAAGTGATGGGCTCCACATACGATGAGGAGGTTCACGCTGCTACTCTGGATGATCTAAGAAAAGATGGAAAGATTTATGAAGATGATTTTGTCTCGTGGTACGTAAACTGGATTTTTGGTGATGAAGATTATGAATCAGATGAAGACAAAAGTATTTGCGAACCATTGAAGACCGAGACTACTAAAATGAAGTCCAAAGAAGAAATAGAAGCGGCCTTTTCTAAGTTTACGGTCGCTGAAGGAAGCTGGAAATGCGCAGTCTGTATGGTAAGTAACGGCCCTGATGAGAATAAGTGCAGCGCTTGTGAGACCCCGAATCCTGCAGCACCGAAAATTGTGGCGCCTGCCAAGTCAGTGAGCGTGACTTCAGCGGGTTCTATCGGCTCCGGTGGGTTTTCGTTCCCTGTATCGATTGAAAAAGACTCGAAGTCGTTATCGTTTTCTTTTGGCGGGCCTGAAGCCAAATCTACTGAATTTTCTTTCGGGAATATGCCCACAACCACAGCTTGTAGTGGTCAGAATAGTTCGACGTCATCTGGTACTGGCTTTACTTTTAGTACCATGACATCTTTTCCAGGTGCCACTGATACATCTGCATTTAACTTCGGTGTAAAGGCCGATGACGCACAAAATACCGTGAACGACACCGAATCTTCGTCGGTCAAGAAAACGACCGCACATGAGTACGGCCAAAACGACGAGAACGAGTTTGCGAGCTCCGATGGCGAATCGAGTGACGAAGAAGAGCAGCGCAAAGAAGAAGAAGCTACTGCTAGAGCTCTTTTCCGAACGCTTACATCTGACGGAGCTGACTTTATTGCTTCAACCCTTTTTCCTAAATTGTTTGCAGTGTTGGGCTCTACGTACGACGAGGAAGAACATGCCAGCACTGTGGAAAGTCTGAGTAGAGATGGAAAAATTTACGAAGACGACTTTGTCTCTTGGTATGTAAATTGGCTTTTTGGCGCTGAGGACAGTGAATCAGAAGAGCCATCTATTCCGCCGAAAGCAGAGCCTGTTAAGATGAAGTCGAAGGAAGAAATCGCTGCGGTATTTTCAAAATACACAGCCACAGAAGGAAGTTGGAAATGTGCGGTCTGTATGGTGAATAATGCTCCTCATTTATTAAAATGCAGCGCTTGTGAGACCCCGAACCCTGCGTCTTCGAAGGAGATAGCACCTGCCACGACAGCTATAGGTTCAGAAGGGTTTTCTTTTCCGGTTGACCAAAACTCGAAGTCCACATCAATCTCTTTCGGTGCAAATTCAAGTGCTGGTATCGAAACAGCCGGCGAAGCCAAACCTAACGCCGGATCAGCATTCAATTTTTCAAGTGATACAACTGTATTTACTTCATCCTCGTTGGATCCAAAATTTGCAAAAGAGTCTTCCCCAAATGGTACAACAGAAGCGAAGGTTTTAGCTGAAAGTACTGAAAGTGGAAGCAATTACCCCCCTGACACAACAACAAGGCCGAAACCTCCACTTTTTCATACACCTAGCGGCTATCCTCCTGATACGACATCAAAGCCAAAGCCTCCTGTGTTTAGTGCTGTAGGTGGCAGTCAATATCCTCCAGATACAACGTCAAAGTCAAAACTTTCTGCTGTTGGTGCGACAGGGGGAAGCGGCTACCCCCCTGACACAACATCAAAGCCAAAACCTCCAGCCTTTAGTGCTGCCAGTTCCAGCGGCTATCCTCCTGATACAACATCAAAGCCAAAACCTCCAGCCTTTAGTG